TCTTGGGCTCAAGCAGTCCTCCTGCCTCCCAAATAGTGGAGACTCATAGGCATTCACAACCGTGCCCAGCTAATTTTTTTTTTTCTGGTAGAAATAGGGTCTTCCTCCCAAAGTACTAGGATTACAGGCTAGAGCCATTGCACCAGCCAGTAACTGTTCAATACCATTACTTGAAGCAGTTGTCTTAAAGCCATTAGAATTCGCTTTTGTTTTCATTCTTCAAGGTATACACAAGAATGTATTTGAGGATGCTGTGGTAAACATTTACTAATTACCTACTTCTAGATCCTGAAATAATCTACACATTAATAAAAATCTTAAGTGATAATACATTACTTTTTTGATATTATTGCTGTTATTTTTAATTTTGGTAAGGATGCTATTAATTTTACTCAGGGAAACTTCTGTAGCCTGTTCTTTGATATGCTCTAAAATACATATCTAAGGCTTTGGAAGGGCCAGTACATAAACTTCAGTGATCAAATTTACGGACTACCTCTGTTCTATATAGGACTATATCAGAGATACTCAGTTAACTCTCATCTATCTCTGTGCATGCTTAGCTACATGCACGTTCCCCTTCTAGGAACTATAATCAGACTGTTTTTGCTCTACTTAAACACTTATTTTGAAGTTGTAATTAAGAGTGATAGATACTTCGTTTTCATTGAAAACAATTTGACCTTATTTTCTGTTTTATTTAATTTTTAATTTTGTGTTTTTTCTTTTTCCTAACTTGAACCAGAATATTCTGTGCCTTAAAAAATATACATGGTGTGTTGAACTTGGTATGAGACAGAAGGTATGAGGTAGGAATCCAATTAGAATTTTGGAATAAAATACTTATTACTAATTATTTTCCTTCTAACTTTTAAGGAGTAAAAATAAAATTTATGGCTGTCACATTACAAAAGGATTCTGCTTTGTTTGTGAACATGTAAAATCACAATAGTATTTAAAATTATGTGACTTTCTTGAATTAAACCTAAGATTCTATTTTTTTTTTTTTTTTTTTTTTGAGACAGAGCCTCAAGCTATTGCCCTGGGTAGAGTGCCCTAGCATCAGAGCTCACAGCAACCTCCAACTTCTGGGCTTAAGCAATTCTCTTGCCTCAGCCTCCCAAATAGCTGGGACTACAGGTGCCTGCCACAACGCCTGGCTATTTTTGTTGTTGTTGTTGTTGTAGTTGTCATTGTTTGGCAGGCCCGGGCTGGATTGGAACCTGCCTGCTCTGGTATATGTGGCTGGCGCCTTAGCCACTTAAGCTACAGGAACCAAGCTGAAGTTTCTATTTTTCATTGTCAGCATTTGCAGGTAGGGAAATGTGGAATCTTAGGAAATCTGTTTCTGTTGTCAATTTAAATTTTCCTAGAATTCTGTCTGTGAAGTCAGATGGATAGTGACAAGCTCTCCTTCCAAAAAAGGTGATAAAAAAGTTGTGTTTAGAAATCAATAGTAAGAATGGAAATTAGAAAATTGTGAAAAGACTTTACTATTTTAAATGCCCTAAAGGTACTTCAAAGATCAGAGTTCAGAACATGTTTTGTAATTTCATCAGCTGTTTAACTAAGCTTTAATTATATTATTTTAATTACATCAAGAATCCACTTTCCACTTCTCTGTCATAGCTAATGTATTATTTGATATTTTAAAAGGTGAATATCATTGAATGTAGAATAATGTCAGATTACATTAATAGAGGAAACACCTACTACAGATTAAACTCTAGAATTAATACATAGAAATTAATACTAAGAATTTTATAGTAATTTTGTACATCTTTTGTTACAAAGTACTGTACCATCGTGTGTATGTTATACAACACTTTTATCTCATTGCTGGTAAATGTGACTTGATTATGTAGCATGTGCCACTTGCAGAAAATGGTGTAAGATCTTAATATTAAAAGTTTTAGAACATTGATACATGTTGGGAGTGTGCTAAATTCTTGCATTCTTGTGTTTATTCATAGTATGTTGTATTTCAGGTCTTTCACATTAGAAATTATTACCATTAATACATTTTATACACAAATGTGCCAGAATGTATGTTTGCAAACTCCCTACATAGCACATGTTGCCAGTAGAATCCCAGAAGATTCTGTAATTGCATATTCTTTCTTTGTAGGCTTGTTCTTTGTTGTTTTAAGATGATCATAATTATTAGTGGTCATTGCCCAATTACTGTGAGATACTGAGCCTGATTTTTAAAGTTCTTCTACATAGAGAAATTATTTATGCCTTTTTTATTCCCCTAAATTGAAAAGCTAAGAAAATAATGGTAATTTTAAATATGGAAACAACAAAGTGTACTTATTTTTGAAGAAATAGAAGAAGTGGAAAGGAGTGTCTTTGAATTTTTCCCATAAAGAAGGTTTTCTTAGCTTATCAAGAATTTAATGAAGAAAAATAGCAGATTTGTCTTTTGTGTTATAAATTCAACTTAATATTGCCATATTTCTACAAAACAAAATTCAAAATTTTAATGTTTGGTTTTGTGTGGTTTGAGAATTTATTTCCCTGCTGTTCAGAGTGGTGTTTCTTACTTTTTAAAACCCATTCCCCATTTTGACCAATAATCTTATGTTCTCCTTTGTTGTTGTTCAGACTTTTAAAATAGTTTTCATGTTTAAAAACAAAATTAAAGCACATGCGTTATCATTCTTCTTTGCCTTCTTCCTTCATCTTCTTATAAACTTCTGACTGTTCTCTTATCCAGAGGTGGAATTTATGACCATTCTCCCAGGGGAATGGAAATGTGGCTATCCTCTCCCTCTCCTTTGCTGAGAATATGCTGGAGATCATAATTTTGACAGTAATGGAAAACATCGAATATTTTCACTTTTTGTGTAGATGAGAGCTGGTTACCCAAAGGGTCAACAAATGAGGTATTAAAGGCGTTACATTTCCCTAATGATTTGGTCCTATTTTGCTCTCTCTTATGGGTTGAAATTGTATATGTACATTTAGACAGTACTAAAATCCCGTAAGGTAAAGAAAAGACTTTCAACTTAATACTTAGGAAGATATAAACTGGTAAAACAAAAAATGTTTCATCTTTCACAGTTGTGAATCAGCTTCACGTCACATTGATTATGCTTTTCTAAGTTGAACAAAACAAGTACAGGGAAGATAGCTCTTGTGAGGTTTAGTTACTGCACTCTGTAATTCTGCAGCACCGCTTGTCTGCGTCATGTAGTAGGAGAACTTAGCTTTTAAGACTCTGTGTATGAGCCACACATGAGTGCAATGGGTATCAAGTGTTTTTGACCTTTAAACTTTTTTTTCTTTTGATACTCGAGATCAAGACAGAGAATAAAGCTGTGTCAGAGTTGAACACTTTTGCATTTAATTGCATCCCTTACACGTGTTTTCTCTCCTTTAACCATTCTGGAGTATGGCTCTAAAATAAAATGTATTATATTGCACCAAAGCAGAGTAATATAAGAGATTGGTGGTATACTGGCATACCCAAAGCTTTTTGTTTTCCTTTCTATATTTATCTTTTTAAATTCTGCAGTGTGATTCTTAACTTAAAGGTTGAATTGGGTAAAGTGGTTGCTAGAAGTGAAAATAGCTGTGACTTTAAAAGGACAAGCAGTTGCGTCTGTTTGGTAGCTGTGCTAGTCTCATTTTTGTTATATGGAAATAGAGTATTTAATTTTTATGATCTACAGGGTGTCCATAAAGTTCATGTGCTATTTACTATGTTAAACTATTTTAAATTGCACATGAACTTTAATTGCATAATTCTACCCTGTACTTAGCTAATTTCTGTCTTTTTTCACTGAGACACAATAATGTGGTCTTACCGGTAACTATGGGGCTTAGAATCCTATTTTTTTTTCTTTTGTTTGAAAATCAGGACAGAGGGTGGTGCCTGTGGCTCAGTGGGTAGGGTGCCAGCCCCATATACCGAGGGTGGCAGGTTCGAACCTGACCCCGGCAAAACTGCAACAGAAAAATAGCCAGGGGTTCTAGTGGGCACCTGTAATGCCAGCTACTTGGGAGGCTGAGGCAAGAGAATCGCTTAAGCCCAGGACTTGGAGGTTGCTGTGAGCTGTAACGCCATGGCACTCTACCGAGGGCAATAAAGTAAGACTCTGTCTCTAAAAAAAAGAAAAAATCAGGACAGGAAGAGCAGGTCTGAATAAAGAAAGATTTTGCTATATTTGCTTTATTTATTGACTAGGCAGTGAAGCTCATTACAGCAGAACCTCTGTAAGTTGGCCACCCGAGGGATTGGAACAAACTGGTCAACATACAGAGGTGTCAACATAAGGAACTTCTGTAGACTATATGTGGTGCATGTCTGGTCTATGAAAAGTAGGTCACCTTAAGAAGGTGGTCACTGTAGGAAGGTGGTCAACTATGGGGGTTTCAGAATTAAATTGGGTCCTAGTTTTATATGATTATTTTTCCTTGATTCTAAAATTCAAGGTTTCACTATATTTATTTTCATTATTAAAATGTAGAAGAATTGAGTTTTCCTTTAAATTCATTACACATAGACTGATAGTTGATTGTGAATGTATTTAATTGATATTCCAGTTTGTCCTATTTAAAGTGAGTCTGTGTGTCTGTGTTAACAGTTATGTAAATGTTCCACATTAAAGCAGGTTAGATGTTATCATAACTTTCTAGCTAGGCTAGACTCTATCATTTTTAATGTAACTCTAATCCTTAAAAAAATTATTTTATTATCTGCACATGGCTGTCATTATAAAATGTTTAATGCATTAGGCACTATAGTAACCAGCAGAAGTGTGCTCCACGTGTTGACTTTTGCAAGGTATTATAAAAGTCATTCTGTACACATATCTCTTGACTTGGTGCAGCATGTCAGTTTTGAAAAGCCACGTGCAAGTTGGAGATTTTGAGATTGGAAGTCACGTAGAAAGGTTGGGGCAGCAAAATATTAAAGTTATTTTCTGATGGCCTCAATGATAATACTTTACAAGTATATAAAGGTTTGAATCCCCCTCTTTTTTAAAAAACAGACTGTGAAGACTTCTGAGAGAGATTTGCAATTCAGTCACATAAGCATAATAAAGACCTATTGGGCCTCATGGAAGAAGAACAAGATTTACCAGAGCAACCAGTAAGTATTTCCTTTATCAATTTAAAGTTGATTATAGAAAAGTTAACCTTAAGAGATTTTCAGTATTGTTCAGTTGTAGCTATAGATCCAAATGTTACATTTTGCTAACTTAATGCTAAGGAGTCTATTTAGAAAATTTAGCATTACAAAGTAAATATTGTATTTGGAAATGTCTTTAAAAATAAATCAATGACTAGTGTTACAGTTTTTAGAAAATAAAAGAGGATGCCTACTCACTCACCAGGCAGTGTATATCATCATTACTGCCAGAAAATTTAGTTTTATTTGTACCTAAATTTCCCTAATTTACTTAATTTTTTAAAAAGTGAGGAAAGTATAATTCGACCTTTAGCTAATTTTTAAAAACAGATAAGATCTTAGAAATGAGATTGAATTCTTAATTTCTTTTAAATATTTTATATAATAAAATTATTTTAAATGCCCCCAAGTGACATGGATTTACCTTCTTTTTGTTTTTTGGCTCTTAACATTTAGAAAAAGAAAGCAATAGTGTTATTCTTTTATGATAAATTTTATGTTAAAGGGACTTTTTTTTTTTGTCTTCAGTTTCTTTTTCTGAAATTAAATAAAACTGATTCATTTTGCTATCCTGGGTGGGCCTCTTGCATTCATATTAAGAGAGAATGCAGAATGATACATACTTACTTTCTTTATGAAAATCCAACCTAGAAAAATTTCAATTTTGAAAGCAAATAATAGGGTTTTTTTATGTTACAACATATTTGTTTACATCACAAAAGAACATATAACAGCTTCCATTTAAACAACTAAGTCCTTTAGTATATTTTTAATATCTTTCTTCATTTGAGAAATGTGTATTGAGGATTACTTTGCCATATTCTTTTAGCCCTCTCAGTTGAGGTGTTTAAGTGTAAAATTAGGACAATAAAAGGAACTTATAAAAAGACCTTTAGAAATATATGAATTATGAGCCCAATCCCTGGTGCGCCATTAATAATTAGGGAAATGGTGAGGGTAAAAATTACCTTTGGTAGTTTGTATAGGATATACACTCTTGGAACAAATAGCTGAATTATATAGATACTAAATGTACCCAGGAAAATTATGTCATTAAATTTTTAATGTGGTAAGACGGAGGTTATATTTTTCACATTTTCAGAAGACTTATTTAAGTGTTGACATACTGTTGAAATATGGATGTTGTTAATTACTCATTACCTATTTAAGGTAATGAGAGTTGTGAGGCTGAGTCATCTCTCTGCTCTGCTTCATTTCCTTGTCATTTTATTCAACTTCTGTAACATGATGTGCAAAACCTGATTGTTACTTCAGAGAAAGGTAAGAAATTGAAGCTCTTTAAAACCAAATTTCTGCTGACTATAAATGGTTATGGTCACGGGGCATCATTTCCTTACTGATTTGTGACTCAGGCCTTAATTTATAAAGATGGCTGAGTCAGTGCCATTAAAAGAAAAGTTTAATGTTACTCATAGTTTCCCTAAAAACAAGAGGCACAGCATGCCATTCGGGGCCACAGGGGGAAGCTTGGTCAGAAGGTAGAAAAGAGGGAAAGGCATGGGCCACAGCCTTTATTGAGGTTTCTGCAGGAAAGACAAGGCAGGGTAGGGGAAACAATTTTGGCTAGTTTGAGTAATTCCAGCAGGCTTTGTGGCCTAGGGGCTATCTCCAGTTGTCCACTACCTAGCCCTAGGTTGATTTAGGGCAAAAGAAATAGGAACTTAGTGTGTAAGAGTTGGATAAAGAATGTGGTTCTGATTATAGGACTGGATTGCAGGGGAAATATAAATAATTTTTAAGTTTAGTTAGGCTTGTGACTTATGTATGCCACATAGATAAATATAAAATCTAAGAAAAAACAGAATGGTTAATTACTAAAAATTGAATAAGAAGAATAAACATCATATTTTTAGGAGAAAGAATGGTCCTATCTTGTGATGATAAATAAAGCTAAAGTTTTTAACTGAATTGTCTACCTGTATATAGGGAGAAATATTACTGATGGAGGTTATTATACTGCTATTGCCTCTTCTTGACTCTTCCTTATGGAATTATCCCTTCTCTTGTTTCTCTACTACTTACTTGCTCTATCTAGAGATTTTGTTCAGGTTGTCATTCACAGTGCAACATAAATTCTGACTTGGTTCTTTCCCTTTCCTTTTATTGCTTATCGATCCTCCTCCTTCCCTGCATTCAGAAATGGTTCTCTCTGTAGTTATTATTTACCTTGAAATCACTCAATCTTTTTCTTCCAGTTTTCATCTTTCTCAACTATTGGCCAAACCAGAACTCACTTAAAGAGTGAAAGGACATGCTAAACCTGAGTTGGGTTTAGTATAAGAAGCATAAACCAAAGCCGTTCTTGGCAAACTGGGAGTATTAAAAACACTCTATGGCTACCAGAAGTGCTCTCTGTATTAAGTTTTTTTGTGAGACAATACTCTATATGGCGAACTGGAAGTATTAAAAACGCTATGGCTACCAGAAGTACTCTCTGTATTCAAGTTTTTTATGAGACAGTACTCTATATTCAAGTTTTTTGTGCACTGTCACCCACGCTTGAGTGCAGTGGTGCTATCACAGCTTACTACAACCTTGAACTCCTGGGCTCAAGTGATCCTTCTTCCTCAGCCTTCTAAGTAGCTAGGACTATAAGCATGTGCCTTGTCCTGCTAATTTTTAAAATTTTTAGTAGAGACTGGGTATTACTTAGTTGCCCAGGCTAGTCTTGAACTTCAGGCCTCAAACCATTCACTTGCCTCCCAAAGGAATGACCCACTGAAGTTTTTTTAAAAAAACATTGTTCTCACATTTATAGCAATCGCCTAAGTTGCTTTAAATGAGTTCCAATCCTCCAGACTTATAGAAATTTTTATCCCGTACACCTGAAATGTGCAAACATGATTGCCAAATCAGTGTTTATCTTCACTTAAAACATCACAGAAAATAAAAGAGTTACTTGAAACAGGATGTAAAGAAACAATACACTGTTTGTGTTTTATTTTTTATTTAAAGGTGGTGTCAGAGAGAAATTAGGTGCTGGAAATTATAGACTGGGTCCTCATGTAATGTTGCTTAATGACATTCTAAAATATTGAACAGACCCTTTTGGATACTTAGAAAAGGATGTGACAGTCGCCAGAGCCTATTATGTATTTTCTCTAAGAGCACTCAACATTCTAAATAATAGCTTAAAGATTTAGGATACAAAAGCATCAGGTCTATATGACAGAAAGCTGGAAAGAATAACTAAAATTTTAAGTTAAAGTATCCAAGAGTGATACTGTTACTTCTTTTTTTATTTTTATTTTTTATTTTTATTTTTTTTTGGGACAGAGCCTCAAGCTGTCCCCCTGGGTAGAGTGCCGTGGCTTTACAGCTCATAGCAACCTCCAACTCCTGGGCTCAAGCGAGTCTCCTGCCTCAGCCTCCCAAGTAGCTGGGACCACAGGTGCTCGCCACAACGCCCGGCTATTTTTTGGTTGCAGCCGTCATTGTTGTTTGGCGGGTCCGGGCTGGGGATTCGAACCTGCCACCTTAGGTGTACATGGCTGGCGCCTTAGCCGGTTGAGCTATAGGCGCCGAGCCAATACTGTTACTTCTTAAGGGACTCTTAGTATATACATAAGTTGCCCTATGAGATGTTTCTTACTCTTGTTCTTTTTAGATGTACTCTTTATACTCAGATACTCTTAAAGTAGAGGCTGTACAATCAGTCAAAGAGAGGATCTCCCCATCTCTAGATAGGATTCTTGAATTTTTAGAAGTTGTTTATGGTAACAAAACAGTTATTTACAACTTGTTGATTTTTTTTTTAATAAGCAAAATGTGGGCCTGTTAGTATTACTCACTAGAAAGAAGTACCTCTTCCTCCAAAAAAGGCTGTAGGTACCTATGTTTATCCTTGTGTTATATTGTAATTAAAGAATACCAGTTTTGTGGTCCGTGTGGATAAGCGATAAAAAAGATCAGTAGATGAAATTTTCTTCCTCATTTAAGTTATTGGTTTTCCCTAAATAGAAATATTTGCAAATATATTTTGCATTATATACGTGGGTATATGTTTTTGTATTTTATGGACCCAAATTTAGCAACATTTTATTTTGCTGATTCTTGCAATTAGCACAGACCTAAAAAATGATCTACGTAATCAAATAACGCTTGGAGAGTGGCTGTATCATGGGACCACCATAGTTTAGCTATGGTCTCTGAGAATTTGTTCTGAGAATCACCAAATTTTAGGTCATCTTTTCTCACCTGAATTAATGCAACAGCCTCTTCAGATTTTCTTGTATTACTTTGGTTCTCTGCCCCATTCATTTTCCGTTTACCTATACTTTATCAGAGTGATCTAACATTCAGAATGGATCATGTTATCTTGTTAATACTCTGAGGCTTCCTCATTACACTCAACATAAAGTTAAACTTCTTAATCTTACTTATAAGGACCTTTATGATTAAACTTCGGTTTACCTGTATAGCCTAATTTTACCACCTCTCCTCTCAGACTCATTACTCCCAATCATACTGAATTTTCAGTAGACTAAGTTGCATGTTCTTTCTCATTTGTGAAGCTTTTAGATACACTGGTCTCTGTGCATGGATTATCCTATTTTCCCCTACCCTTTCAAATATAAGTTCCCCTTCTTTGCCTGGCTAAATCCAGTTTATCTATCAGTTTCAATTTAGACTAATAATTTAGGCTAATCATTCTGAATTGAATGATGAATTAAATGAATTAAAACCATAGAATGTTATTAATTTTTTTTTTTTTTTTGAGACAGAGTCTCATTTTGTCACCCTAAGTAGAGTGCTATGGCATCATAGCTCATAGCAACCTCCAACTATTGGGCTTTAAGCAATTCTCTTGCCTTAGCCTCCCGAGTAACTGAGACTATAGGCACCTGTCCCAACACCTGACTATTTTTAGAGATGAAGTCTCACTCTTGCTCAGGCTGGTCTTGAACCTGTGAACTCAGGCAATCCACCCGCTTCGGCCTCCCAGAGTGCTAGGATTATAAGTGTGAGCCACCAAGCCCAGCCCATAGAATGTTATTAGAGTGATAACCAGTTAAGTACATTATCAGTATAGAGAGTGTTGAGAAAAAACTCCTGAGAACTACTGTCTTAGACAATATTTCTTCAGGAAATGTTGTCTGACTTACTATCTTACTATATCCCTGCATTCCCACTTCCTCCCTGAAAAAGACTTTGTCTGGTGTCCCTCTTGTGTCTTCCATAGCACCTTAAACATCTATTGGAATCATTAATCTTACTGTTATATAAATTATCTATTTACCTTTTTTTTTTTTTTTTTGAGACAGAGTCTCACTCTGTTGCCCTGAGTAGAGTACTGTGGTGTCATCATAGTTCACAGCAACTTCTTCTTAACAAGAAGAGTTCCACATAAAAAACAAAGTCTATCCCTAACTCTAAAATATAGCATGGGTTAATTAAGTAAATCTAAACAAAACAAAATAGAACAGTTACCCTGTAATATACTAGTTAATAATTAGCCTGCTTTTTGTGTAGCTAGACGATTTCAAAAACAGATCGCTGCATTGATACCTTTGTGTATTTATTTTTGCAGGTGAAAAAAGCCAAGATGCAGGAGTCAGGAGAGCAAACTTTAAGGTATATAAAGTTGAGGGTTTTTTTGTTGTTGTTATTCTTTAATTTTTTTTTATTAAATCATAGCTGTGTATGTTAATGCAATCATGAGGTACAATGTGCTGGTTTTATATACAATTTGAAATATATTCATCAAGCTGATTAACATAGCCTTCACCGTAATTTCTTAGTTATTGTGTTAAGACATTGAATTTATTTTTAATGATAATTTTTTTCACATGCTGACTAGTATCTGAACATGCTTTGGCTTGACTGCCCTCTTTTTGTTTTTTAACATCAGCCTTTACATGTTGAATTATTTGGTTTAAGATTAAAGTTTTCCTTCAAAATAGTTTGACAGTGAAACACAGGTGCTTATTTTTTCTTACGCATTCAATAACATGTACTGAGCTCATGTATCAGGCACCATCCTATACAGAGGAGACCTGATGGTAAAGATGAAACATATCATATTCTTTATTCAAATGTACAGTATATAAAATAAGAAACAAAAGCAAAATAAAGGAAAACCAAGGGAGTATAGGGTGCCTTAGTCATTAACTCTACTCCTCTTACAGAAAAGAGGCAATTTGCACCTACAGTCTGGCTTCCACACACCATAGTTTTCAGTTTTCCATAGTTTTTACCTTCTGTCATTTTTGTACTAACAGTATGAGCCAGTAACTGTATTATCTTTAACACATTAATTTCAAGAATCTTCCTCTTGCACCACACTCAAGAATCTTAATTCTTTTAACCCTATCATTTCAGCTCATTTATTCAGAAACTGCTAGCTGTGTGATGCTTCATACGTCCAGTTAAATAATATGTTACTTTCACTATCAACCACTGATCCTTCCCTCACAACCAAGTTCAATTTCTTTCTTAATGCTGCTTAAATGATGATATCTACCATAATCAGTCCCTTATGTTATTTAACTTCTGCTTTTCCTGTGTCATACTAGCCTAGCAAGACCACAACCTTGATTAAACCCAGCTATCCACCTGTTGTATGCTTATTCCCAATTACCCATACATTATAAGAGAAAAACACAGAACTATGCTGACTGGTCTTAGTTTCCATTTATGATTATATCTCTAACAGGCACTTAAACACCCTTTCTGTTGTGTCAGATTTCCCTGTCTCTAAAATCATATTAATTCCATCCTTTCTTTCCTCCTTGCCTCCTGCCTTCTCCCTTTTCACTCTCTGTCTGTTGCTTCCATTTACTCAGCTGTGGACCTTGCTCCCTAATAGAAATAGAGGTTAAAAACAATTAGATAGGAACACCTCACTGTCTATCCTCTATCTACCCACTTCATCTGCTTCTCTATGGATACTCTTTGCTTCCTTTTCCTCTGAAGGTAATTCCCTTGCGCTTACCTAAGGCTAACCCCTCTAGTTGTACTGAAGAACCTGTCACCTTCATCTCTTCCTGCAATTATCTCCTCTCTAACCCTTAGCAGTGTTTTTATTGTGATAAAATACATATGACATACAATTTACCATTTTAAGCATACAGTTTAGTCGCATTAAGTACATTCACTTTGTAACTATCACCACCATCCATTTGTAGAACTTTTTCATCTTCCCAAACTGAAACTCTATATACATTCAACAAGAATTCCTCATTTCTGGCGCAGTGCCCATAGCACAGTGGTTACATTGTCAGCCACATACACCAAAGTTGGCAGGTTTAAACCCAGCCTGGACCAGCGATGGCAACTGCAACAACAAAAAAATAGCTGGGCGTTGTGGTGGGCACCTATAGTCCCAGCTACTTGGAAGGCTGAGGCAAGAGAATCGCTTAAGCCCAAGAGTTTGAGGTTGCTATGAGCTGTAATGCCACAGCACTCTACCAAGGGCAACATAGTGGGACTCTGTCTTTAAAAAAAAAAAAATCAATCCTCATTCCCCCTTCTCCCACCTCGTGGCAACCACCATTTTACTTTCTGTCACTGTAATTTTTTTTTTTTAAGAGACTTACTTCATCACCCTTGGCAGAGTGCTGTGGTGTCACAGCTCACAGCAACCTCTAGCTCTTGGGTTTAGGCCATTCTTTTGCCTCAGCCTCCTGAGTAGCTGGGACTATAGGTGCTTGCCACAACGCCTGGCTATTTTTTGTTGTAGTTTGGCCAGTTGAACCCACCACCCTCAGTATATGGGGCCCGTGCTCTGTCACTATAATTTTGACTATTCTAAGTTCCTCATAGAAGTATGCAGTATTTGTCTTGTGACTTAACATAATATCTTCAAGTTTCATCTATTTGTAGCATGTGTCAGAATTTCCTTCCTTTTAAGACTGAATAATATTCTATCACATGTCCATTCCACATTTTGTTTATCCATTCATCTGCCATGTCTGTTAATAATGGACAAAATTCTGTTAAATGGGAAGGGAGTATTTGGATGTTTTTTTGCTCTTTTTGGGGGGAGGGGGACATTTTATTTTAGAGCAATTTTTTTCCTCCATGGTGTATACATTGTTAAACAAAATGTATGTTCATATAACTCTGAAAATAATTATATTTTGAGGCAGTGTTTCATTTTTTAAAAAATTTAAGAAAAGTGCTAGTTAATTCACTGGCACTAGATGATCAATTGAATATGTAGGGGATTTTGCAATAATTTAGAATTCTAGGACCACCAGGTTTTAGGAACTGGTCCAGTGTATACCAGCCCATACAAATATCACCAACTTCTACAGGATCTAGAAATAATCTTCAACAGTAGGTGTAATAGTGAACCCCAGCCTTACCCAAGTGTCCCTATAAAACTATTTATTGCAGTCAGAAATGTGAAATTCTGCCCCAGTTTCATGTCCTTCCCCAGTATAAGTAGATGTGACATGGGCCCTAGAAATCTTCCCTGGGGCGCAGAGAATTTTGGTGACTTACCCAAGTCACAGAGACCATGGTGGAGTAGAAGTCATACTTTTTTTTTTTTTGAGACAGTGTCTCAAGCTGTTGCCATGGTCTGTAGAGTACAGTGGCATCACAGCTCACAGAGATCTCAAATCTTGGGTTTAAATGATTCACTTGCCTCAGCCTCCCAAGTAGCTGGGACTATAGGTGCCTGCCACAATGCCTGGTTATTTTTTTTGTTGTAATTGTCATTGATTTAGCTGGCCTGCCAGGTTCAAACCTGCCAGCCTTGGTGTATGTGGCCAGCAGCCTACCCATTGAGCTATGGGTGCTGCCTAGAATTCTTACTTGAGCAGTCTGCTTCTAGAACCTGCACTCTTAATTCCTGTGCTATCCTGGGAGGAAATAACTAGAGAGCAGAAAGTCAAGAAGAAGAAAAAGGGAGAACATTGTGAGAGACAAAAGTTAGAATAAACTCCATTCCAAAACTTCAGTGCAGTCTTCCCAGCATTAAAATGTATCTAACATAATGATTTGTCTTCCCAGTTTAAATGACTTACTTTTTGCAATTTCTCTAAATATATTCCTTGTGTTAAAATTAAAAAAAGAAAAGATGTTCTTTAGTCCTTTAGTCCTGGATATAATAACACTAAAAATGAGGTGTTTTAGAAGAGAAATACCTTCGAGGGAACCTTTTTTTTTTTTTTTGCAGTTTTTGGCCAGGGCTGAGTTTGAACCCACCACCTCCTGTATATGGGGCCGGCACCCTACTCCTTTAAGCCACAGGCGCCACCTAGAGACAACCATTTTAAGGGTTCAGAACCCTTGCTTGGAAACAAGCATACATACATAATTTGAAAAAACTTCTCATGTGAATATGATTTGTAGCCAGTTAAGAACCACTGTCTACAATCAGGCATTTCTCCACTTTCCTGTGGTACTTTGGAAACTAAGTAACAGAGCACTATTGCACAGAATAGTGACCATAATAAAAAATAAATAGATAAAACAATAAATAATAAAATTGTATATTTCAAAATTCTTAAAAGTGTGGATTTTCAATTTTTTTTAAACCTCTGTATTTATTAGTTTATTAATATCATCCAGGACTCAGATGTTCAGAATTCCTCCTGAAATTACATTAACAAATGCAAATGGAAAGAATCCAAGTCAAAATTATGTAATAGAACAGGACTCCATCACAAAAGTGTATAAAATTATAAGAACACTATTTTTAAATGCTGGCACTTTAAGAGAACAATAATCTCAAAACCCACAAAATTGCCAAATAGTTCCCTAAACTGCTAAACAGATAAACGTGACTCTAATGAACCAGTGTGGGTTTTGTAAGGAAAAATTAAATTCAAATAAATTGAATAACTTGTATTAAGATATGAAGTTTAAGCCTTTTCTTTCCTGCTACCAATTTGATTCAAAAAGGGGCAAACCACAATACAAGAAAATATAACCTATTTTAAATGTGGTATCATTTTAAAGGGTGCCCCAATTAATTAAAGATACTTTTAATGGAGAATCTAAAGTTTCCTGAGCAGTTCATATTTAGGTAAATGGGAAAAGGCAGTTTACAGCCAGCACTTTCCTAGTCTTTGCCGGGACTAACATCGACAAAAAATACAATATGGCAGTCTTGTATTTTAAGCTCATGCTTTTGGGAATACATTCTCAGGTCTTCTTTAATGTGGGAACTGCAAAATATAGCTGCCATTACATGGTAATGGGAGTTAAAGAATAGAGTCCTCATGTAAAGATTAGAACATATTTTTCTATTAGTCCTTCAAGGACAGACTTTCAAAATGTTTGATTTTAATAAACCCATGCTGTGAGTAGATTGCTTATGCTTCACTGTATAAAGATAAGTGGGCTAAGTTAAATTTGTTATCAACTTTGGAGTTTCAGTTATAGATGACAACTATCTCAATTTAACTTTTGTTACCTCCATCATGATATGCAGGGTGTATAGGCAAAAAAGCTTTTTGTCAGCTAATTATATGAAAAGATAAACAATGTAATAATTCATGTGGCCCATAATGGGCAAAAAGCAAAAGACTAGCTTCCCTTTAAGAATAAAAATTTTTTGTCCTGTGAAAAGGACAACAGAACTAATGAAAAAAAATTGTATTTACTTAGGATACTTAATGTCAGCAAAACTGCTGCAACTTGTTTTTTTTTTTTGCAATTACAGGGTGGTATTCAGTTAACAGAACAATAATTCTGTATAAGTTGCATCAGAGGCAACTGAAGATGAAAAAACTACCATTCTCATATATAATTAATTTTTCCTGTGTACCAACAAGAACCTGCTTTAAATTTCCATGCCAATTTACAGCCCCCGTACTGTACCAGGCAAGGTCAGTGGATATTTGAAAATATCTCCAGGACAGGGCTATCTAAAGACACATTCAGTAGCATGGTAACTATACAAAAAAAGGCACTGTACAGTTTGAAAACAAACCTTACACAGCCTTACATTTCAGTTTATTTCATTAAAAAGAATGAGTTATAGGGCAGGGCCTGTGGCTCAAAAGAGCAGGGCACTGGTCCCATATGCCAGAGGTGGCAGGTTCAAACCCAGCCTCAGCCAAAAAAAACAGCAAAAAAAGAAAAGAAAAGAATGAGTTGTATACAGAGTTGTATAAATGCTTTATAGAACCCCCCCAAAAAATCTGTGCTAGAACCAACTTATACATCATCACATCATCTTCCTCCTCCTCTTCATCTTCTTCATCTTCCTCTTCTTCCTTTTTCTTGCTTTTTTCAGCCTTGATGACTCCCTTTTTTGCTACATCAGGCTTTCCTTTAGCTCAGTCTGCAGCAATATCCTTTTCATATTTTTCCTTCAGCTTTGCATCCTTCTTTTCACGAGGCTGCTTGTCATCCACAGCCTCATGTGTTATTCCAGATCTCTCTCAGCTTCTTTGCAGCATCACCAGTGGATAGGCTGGGTTGTTCTTTGATTTTGGGACAGTACTCAACAGAACAAGAAAAAAGCTGAAGGAGGCCTCTCGGGTACATTGGGATCCTTGAACTTTTTTTTTTGTTTCCCCTTTAGGAGGAATATAGGTTTTCATTTCTCTTTCATAATGGGCCTTGTCCGCCTTTGCCAGATCTTCAGATTTTCCTTTCTCTTTAGCAGACATGGTCTTCCAACTCTGAGCACTCCTTGGAAAACTCTGAGAAGTTGACTGAAGCATCTGAATGCTACTTCTTCGATTTGACAAGTTGGCACAAAGAATGCATATGATGACATTTTGCCTCTGAGCTTTTTAGGATCTCCTTTGCCCATATTTAGTTACTTTTCCTAAACAAGGCACAGAGTCGCCCAGTGCTTGTCTAACTCTCAATTGCCCCAGCACTATGGAGTTCAGTGTACTGCAATGGCTGTGAGAATGGGAGCCAGACACATCCTCCTCACTCTCTTTTCTCTGTAACATTCGATTTCAAATGTTTTTAACACAAAAGAATAAGTACATGAGGTGATGGATTTAATTAGCTTGATTTAATCATTCCACAATATAAACATATATCAAAGCATCACATTGTACCCCATAAGTATATGATACTACATACCACATACATATATATATATATATATTTACTTATTTATTTATGTTTTAAGTGTTAGCAGTGTTTTAGATGTTGTAGAATTTCTCTTTTACCATATAGTCTTAGAGAACACCTTACTTGCCTGTGTCTAAGCTGGAGTTTCTAAATGATATAAAAATGAAAGAGATGTAGGAATACAAGAAAGAACAGTAGAATGCTGAGGGTACTAACCCTGGCTCTAGCTCTTTTCACTTAGTTGCTAAAAACCAACAAGGCTATCATGAAGATTTACCTTGCCTCTTATTTGTATAGTCTAGAAGGAAATGGGTCTGATCTCATCTCTTTTAGCAATACAGCAAATCAGTCCAGAGCTAACGAATTTATTTTGATTCTCCCAGTCAAGTAAGCAATGCGGATGTCAATGAACAGAAACCTGAAACATCAAGCCTTGCTTCAAACCTTACCATGTCAGAAGAAAGTAAGTACCATATTCTGTACCAGGTGGTATGTTCTTACGCATTTGGTTTTCACTAATTGCCTTGTTTGTCCCAGAATATCCAGAAGGCCTTCCCATCCTTGTGTGTGTTCATTCTTGTTCTCTCCTGTAAGTTTTATTGATATACAAGCTGAGGAAGAATCACATGGGATCCACTCACCCAAGGAGTCACACTGGGTGGTTTTATTTTTGTTTTGAAATTGGATGTGCTGGCTCGGTGCCTGTGGCTTAAGCGGCTAAGGCGCCAGCCACATACACCTAAGGTGGTGGGTTCAAATCCAGCCTGGGCCCGCCAAACAACAATAATGGCTGCAACCAAAAAATAGCCAGGCGTTGTGGCGGGCACCTGTGGTCCCAGCTACTTGGGAGGCTGAGCCCAGGAGTTGGAGGTTGCTGTGAGCAGTGAAGCCATGGCACTCTACCCAGGGGGACAGCCTGTCTCAAAAAAAAAAAGAAAGAAAGAAATTGGATGTGCTATAGTTAATAGTGTCTTATCAAAACTGGAAAAGTTTGTAGGCCACCCGTGACTGCTCCTCCAGAGGACTTAATATTTTTCTATCTTCCTAATAAAACCAAATGATCCCACTTACCATTCTAGACCACAAAAGAAAAGAAACCCCCTCAGAGCCAAACATTAATACTGGTCCCTGAAGGAAATCCAGCTTAGTAAAATAAACCCTCCACTTACCACCCAGCACTCTCCTGTAGAATAGTTATAGACACAAAGCTTTGTGGCGTGTGCTGTTTTTTGTTGTGGAGAAGTTGTAGGCTTTGTCTAGCATACCCACTTACTGTCCTAAATTGCCTCCATAGGTCAAATAATCCTCCCTTAAATTAAATAGCTATGCCTTTCCATATTTTACCACACATTTTAAAAGAATAAATTTGTGTAAGACCCTTGAAAAAGCACTTGTTTTGGAAATATTTCTGCTCTTGAGATGATTAATCTTAAATGTATTTCCTATGGTTAAGAAAAAAGGTAAGTTTTGAGTTCTATATATTATTTCCTGAAAGGTGATTCTACTCCATTTGTTGGTACATGTTTAACACATATAAGAATCATCTGTAATGCTTATTTGTAATGTAGAATTCTAGCCTCACCTTCAGAGATTATCATTCAGTAGATCTGATATGGATGGGAAATCTGTATGTTCAAGAAGTTAAGTAGGTGATTCTTATACATATGGGGAACTGACCATACTGTGAGAAACTGCTCTAATCAATGGAGTGTCCCCTTTAATTTCTTGAATGTCCCACTCATCCCCAAGAAGAAGGCCTGTTCTTCTTAAGAATCTTTTTATTTTCTTCTTAAGAATCTTATACTTTACATTCTTAGAATCAGGACATACATTGAGTCTCTCACTCCTTCCAAATCATTTCTCTTCCTTTTTTTCCCTTCAAAAACTTTAGTTCCTTTGAAGTCTAATCTATAACTTCCCTACCTTACCTTTTTAGCTGTAGACCAGGGGTCCTCAAACTATGGCCCACAGGCCACATGCGGTCTGCCGAGGACATTTATCCGGCCCGCTGGGTATTTTTGCTGCCGCTGCCTGTCCTGCTTAGCAGCCAACTCGTCCCAGGGCCCGCAGTCCAGCCCTCCAATGGTCTGAGGGACAGTGAACTGGCCCCCTGTTTAAAAAGTTTGAGGACCCCTGCACTGTACTCCCAATCATTTTATTCTTTAAGGACTAGATCCTCTATTTTATTCTTCTAAAATCTTTTTTTTTGCAGTTTTTGGCCAGGGGTGGGTTTGAACCTGCCTCCTATGGCATATGGGGCTGGCGCCCTACCCCTTTGAACCACAGGTACTGCCCAACTTCTAAAATCTTGTCACTGTTGGTAATTTTTAACATTTGTGTAGATGACTTACTCGATACCTATCATTTCCCTCCTGTCTTTATTTTCCTTCTTACTCAGCATAGATCCTCTGGTTCTTTATTATAATTACTTCCTTATAAATACCTTCAATAACTTTGCCCCTTGTATTCTCTTTGCTGATTCTGAGTCCTAATTTAACCTAATTTTCCATCATCCATAAATGCATGCGTATAGCTACACGTGGTGGGATGAAATTATATATCTAACTCAATAGTTAATACTTTTCTCAAAATCACAGGACTTTAACAGGTACTCAACATGCTCAGATGTCTTGCTACATTTCCCTAATGAGTTTTGCCTTTTTTTTTTTTTTGACACAGAATCACAAGCTGTCACCCTAGGTAGAATGCTGTGACATCACAGCTCACAGCAACCTCAAACTCTTGGACTTAAGAGATTCTCTTGCATTAGCCTCCCAAGTAGCTGGGACTACAGGCACCTGCCACAACGCCCAGCTATTTTTTCGTTGTTGTTGCAGTTGTCATTGTTGTTTTAGCTGGCCAGGGCCAGGTTCCAGTCTGCCAGCCTTGGTGTATGTGGCTGGCGCCCTACCCACTGAACTACGGGCTCTGCCGCCTTTTTTTTGAGACAGAGTCTTACTCTGTTGCTATGGGTAAAGTGCTGTGGTGTCATAGCTCACAGCAACATCAAAGTCTTGGACTCAAGTAATCCTCTTGCCTTAGCCGCCCAAATAGCTAGGATTACAGGTACCTACCACAATGCCTGGCTAGATTTTCTATTTTTGGTAGCGACGGGGTCTTGCTCTTGCACTAACTGCCTTGGCCTTCCAAAGTACTGAGATGATAGGTATGAGCTGCTGTATCCAACCTACTTTAAATATCTTATATATTCTAGTGAACCCCAAATTTATATTTTCAGTCTGATTTCTTCTCCAATTTTACTTGTCTGTCAAACTGCTTGTTTGACATTTCCACTTAGCTATCTAAAGGGAAAGTCATACTTAAAATTTCTGAAAAAGACCTTTTTGATTCCTTTAGCCCCCATCAAATCTATTCTTCTTTCAAACTTGCCCATCTTAGAAAGTGATATCATCCCTGCAGTTGCTGAAACTAAAAACCTAGAAATGGTCCTGTTTAGTCATCATCTATATCAAATCCTTCAGAATATCTTATTAGTTTTACCTTCAGTATATATTTCAGGGTCTTTGCCTCATCCCCATTGTTGCTACTTTAGTCTAGGGAAGCTTATTACTTACTTGATCTTCCTGTTGTATAATAGCAAATTATTCCTTGACTCTTCATATCCTTTCATGCTTCCCAAGTACTGCCAAGATCAAGGTTCATTCATTAAGGGAAAATTCCCCTCGCCTCCTAGGATATTTTGTTGATCTCTTCTAAGATTAAATTTAATTGAAGAAAGATAAAAGTTTGGGCTTTTGTTTTTGTTGTTGTTTTTTTAAGAGATTGGGAATCTCTCTCTGTTGCCTAAGCTGAAGTGCAGTGATGTGATTATAGGTTACTGTAGCTTTAAATTACTGCGCTCAAGTGATCTTCTTACCTCAGCCTTAGCCTCAGGGACTACAGGTGTACACTGCCATGGCTGGCTAATTTTTTCTCCCTATTTTTCTAGGGAGGATCGCACTAGGTTGTCCAGGCTAGTCTCAAACTCCTGGCCTCAAATGATCCTCCTGCCTCATCCTCCTCCATTGGGTTTGGATTTTTTTAAAGTACTTAACAGAAGAGAAAGAACCGTCATGCAGAATTTGAACTTATGTTCTATGTGATTTGTGGTAAGAACTTCAGATCTACTTGCGATCTCCTTCTTTTTTTTTGAGACAGAGTCTCAAGCTATCACCCTGGGTAGAATGCTGTGGTGTCACAGCTCATAGCAACCTCAAACTACTGGGCTTAAGTGGTTCTCTTGCCTCAGCCTCCCAAGTAGCTGGGACTACAAGTGCCTGCTACAATGCCATCTGGTCTTTTTGTTGTTGTTGTTGTTGTTGTCATCTTTGTTTTTAGCTGGCCTAGGCTGCATTTGAACCCGCCAGCCTCAGTATATGTGGTTGGTGCCCTACCCACTGAGCTATGGGCGTCACCTGAAATCTCCTTCATTTTTGTCAAGATGATTATAGATGACTGTGATCTTTAAGTTTCCTATAATACTTTTTAAAGAACTCAAACAGGATCTTCTATGATAAGATGTTGACATGTCTTACTCTTGGGTATGAATTGGCTCCTCCTCTAGTCCTCATCTGCTCTTGACCAGGGGTCCCTTTCAGGAAACCTATCTAGACATACAGTTAATTGGTTCATTTTCTGTCCCTATTCACAGTAGAGCAACCTCTCTATAGATGTTGAAGGATAGTGTTAATCAGTTTAAGAGTCTGGTGAAAGCTCTTTATGTTTAACTCTCTCTACAGTGTGGATTGAAATAATGCCTAACAAGTAGGGTTCTGCTACCTGTCAAACTTGAGTCACATATTTACATTTATCCCACACGTAATTGTGACAGCAAGCCTTCACAGCAGCTATTCCAGATGAAGTCATGGGATCAAGAGGAGACTAGCTGGAAAACTAGTATCTTTACTTGATAGTTCTTCAGAGCATCACATCAGTTCCTCAGGTCTGTCTCTGCATTGCCAAACTGAAACAGGGCCTTCACTACAAAGCAGAAAAAATAATAGTATAAAAGCATACTTGGTTCTGTTGATTTTATACAGCAGTAGCAATGGTTTTCTAGTAAGATTGAGTACTTCCCCTAGATCTGTTTTTCTGCAAGTCATTCTTAAGGACTTTTACTCAGAATAGAGTAAGTACCCAAAGAATGAATAAGCTGAAGAAGCATACTGTGATTTCCTAGATATGGATCTTTTTAAGTTTGCCTGTATAGCTGAGAGCTTAGGGGGTTTCTGTCTGTCATCTATGGTTTTAGATCACTGATGGGTGAAGGTAGAAATCACTCAGTACCGACCTTCAGCTCTTTGCCATGCCCTACCATGTTCTTGCCTCTTTTACTGTCTCTAAAAGTCTCTACACAGGTCTATAAAGACAAAAGTATGGTATTTTCAACTATATAGTCTTTCAGACTCTTTGATGTCCTAGTTCTGTTAATTAGTTTGAAAGACTGTATAGTGAGATATGCAATTTTCCTACTCTATTTTTGAAATGTTCTAACTTTTTTACCTGGTGATACTGTCTTTCTTTCAGTTATGACGTGCACCGATTACGTCCCTCGCTCATCTAATGATTATACCTCACAAATGTATTCTGCAAAGTAAGTTGAATAATTATTTCCAAAATGTATATGCTTTTTCTCTAGATTTGTGGCAAAATTTATTGTGATATTTTACTTGTTTTTACTTTTCTTGGTCACTCTGTCCTTGTTCTAGTTTTCTATTTCTTCTAAATATGGTGTATGTTGCATCCTTTTAAAAAGGAGATGGTTGCCTGGAATGGATCACTGTTTCAGAGAAGCTCACTCTACATGAGTAGGCACTGAAAATGCAAAGTAGTATCAGTGATCAAAGCATATCACTAACCTCTGATCATTCTTTTTTTCCTCTATCTTGTTATACAGATCAATAAAAACAGCTCAAGCTGGCCCCAGACTAGGATTTCTCAGTCTAATATGTGTTCAGTTTCTTGATGAAGGAATATCCTCAAAGTAGAAATGTGCTTGAAGTTAGATAGGTTTGGTGGGTTGAAGTCACAAAGAGATAATGCTTTGGTCCTTTGTGGTATAAGATCAGCATTTAAGAACAACTATATGAAAAAAAAAAAAGATCAACTAGGTGATGACTAGGTGCAGAACAGTGTGTATACAATTTCAATGAAGAGTGGACCCATACATACAGAGACATGTAAAAGTGCCCTAATTAAGCAAGAATATATACTTACTTGCTTACAAATGCAGGATACATACATAAGGAAATTAGAAAAGGATGTCTATGGGGCTATTATAAAAAGGAACCTAGCTCCCTCACCCTTGTTTTTAACTTTTGAATTTTGTCTTACTTAAAAAAAAATAAATAAAAAGTCAACTCAGTGAGATTTCCGAGTTCTAATCTTGTATTAAAATTGACTGTGTCCTTGAGCTAGTCATTTTCCTGTGATTTTCTTCTGTGAAATGACTTAACCTGTTCTCTAGGACTATTATGAAGAATTAGATACTAAATGTGAAAACACATTTGAGCCTTGGCCTATAAAAGAAACCACAAGAAAGAGGAATTACAGTCTTTAACATATCTAGAGATCTATTTGAGGTCACTAAGATTTTAAATATTCCTGTGTGACTTGAGTAACAACTATATGACCTGAGCTGTTTCTTAGATTCAAATCTGGCTAAGAAAAATAGACATTTTAAAATTTAATTTCTTAGACTCTACTGTGTTATGAATATGTTAGATTTTTCAGATTCATTAATTTATTCCAAAAGATTTATATACCTGCTACATTCAGGACACCTAACGTTAGTTTTAATGCCTTCAATCTTGATTAGATTCCCTTACTACTAACCTGAATCATTACATTATAATTTTGTATCTGGACCTTCATTTCCAGTTTCTGTTCCCCCTCCTAAACTATTTTACAAAACAGTGTCAAATTAATCTTTATTACAGAACAGCTCTGTTCTTACCATGCTTTGCTCAACAATTTTAGTAGCTCCCAATTTCAGATTTGTCTGAACAATTTGGTGTTCAAGGTCTTTGCTATTTGTTTTTCTATCTTTGGCTTGCTACTACCGTTCTCTTAATGAAATCTATGGTCTTTGCAGTCTGCAACCCTTGCTTTCCTTCCTCTGTATCTTGGCAGGGTGTTTTGTGTGAGTTTTTTTTTTTTTTTTGTCCTAGAACATCCTTTCTCTATTTCTGTACTTCCTATCTGTTCAGTTCACATACTTCTTCTGCAGTTTTGTTTTGTTTTTTGGCTGGAGCCCAGTTTGAACCTACCACCCCCTACTCCTTTGAGCCATAGGTGCTGCCCCACATACCACTTCTTTATAGCTTTTCTTCATTCTCTTCTTCTTCAAAAAGTACAGTTCCCTCTTTCTTGATTACAAGTACAACATAATTCACCAAATAAAATAATTGCTATGTAAAAATTCAATACAATAACATGCATGAAATGACTATTACCCAGACAGTGGGTGTAAAGTCTCAGAGGTTTCACTGCTAACCTCAAATCCTTAGATACCCTGATGTGGTTGGCACTAGCTAGTGGCATTATGTTCTAACTTAAATATCAGGGAAGAGATTGGGTCTTGTCTGAGACTTTCCAGATTTTATTACTTGCCTAGCTTCTATTTTTTAGGCTAAATTTGACGATATTGAGGCCCATCCGTACCCCTTTTCCTGATTTGATTACTTACCTTTTCACCATAGCCTCACCTTCTTTTCCAAGAGGGTCACCCTTTCCCTCTCAGACCTTTAGTTTGATCTAGGGGGCTAGAGATACTTGCCAATCCTGTTCTATCCAGTTTTCTGTTATTTTAGGGTTTTATGCTGTTTATACACATTTTATTCTTTATGTAGCCATCCTTATATCTACACACATGTGTAGACAAGTTTAATCATCCTTATATTTGTATGTAGATAAGATTAATCCATCCTTATATCTATATGTAGATAAGTGTAGTCCATCCTTATGTTTATTTGTGGACAAGTTAAATTCATGCTTATGTCTTACATAGGGCCATGCATGTAGCATCATGAATGTTTATAGGATCATAATTAGAACTTGGGAGGATGTATGAAACTTCTACATTTTTCATAAAATTGTTGCTTGGGTGGATAATAGTGGGACCTGTAAACGAGAAAAGAGTTTTTCTTTCTAATCCATAAGAGCCATTTTATGTGGAAGGTTAGTGTCTTGTTGCTAATTCTTTGTTGTTGGTGTTTCTTGAATTTTTCTAGACCTTATGCACATATCCTTTCAGTTCCTGTTTCTGAAACTGCGTACCCTGGGCAGACTCAATACCAGACACTACAGCAGTCTCAACCCTATGCTGTCTACCCTCAGGCAACCCAAACATATGGACTACCTCCTTTTGGTAAGGCATGCTGTTGTAGATAGTTTCTAAGAATGTTGATTTTATTACCGAGAATCTTCAGTCAGCCACACTTGCTTGGCTGATCAGAAAGTTGAAAGATGGCATGTTTCTTTACACAGTACTTATGTGTGTGGTAGAATTTGGATATGCAGTGTTCTAACAGTATGTTTGATGCATGTGATATAAAAATTACAGTTTTCAATACCAAAATTTAGCCATTGCCAAGTACTAAGTCTTGACTCTGAAGCTTGGTATGTTTAAATGTTTGGTAATTCTTTGAGGAATTACTATTGATTTGACTTACTTTGTAACAGTAATACAGTGTATCATAGTTTGGTAAGCATAATAAATATATTTTAAGGTGGCTAATTTCTTGGTAAAACCAGGTAGTCTATATATCCGGATAGAATATGCTTCATAGTTTACTTTCTGGTAGTAGTTTGTTTGTTTTTTGACACTTTCTCCCTTTCCTAACTGATATATATTGTTCTGTTGAACCAGAAAGTCATCCTAGAATTTCAGAAATCCCCAATTTTCTGTAACTGTATCATGTGCATAAGAGTTATTTTTATTGGTTTTAAGTATCTTGGACATGAACTGTAAATTTGTTGATTTACCAGAAGTCACTTTGAGATTCTTGGGACACTTCATATGTGTGATGATTTTTCTGTGTGTATGAGTTGATAGATAATATATGTTGTGCTTCATTGATCCTTCCCCGCTGTCCTAGAATTGGTGTCAGAAAATTGAGAGAATACTGTCTTATTTTAAAATATTCAATATAGGCTTGGCGCCTGTGGCTCAAGTGGCTAAGGCGCCAGCCACATACACCTAAGGTGGCGGGTTCAAATCCTGCCTGGGCCCGCCAAACAACAATGATGGCTGCAATCAAAAAATAGCCAGGCGTTGTGGTGGGCACCTGTGGTCCCAGCTACGTGGGAGGCGGAGGCAGGAGACTCACTTGAGCCCAGGAGTTGGAGGTTGCTGTGAGCTGTGATGCCACAGTACTCGACCCAGGGGGATAGCTTGAGGCTCTGTCTCAAAAAATATATATATTAAATATATTAATAAAATTATATTGCTATAGACTTTTGTTTCAACAAGCTAGTTTTCTAGACCAATCACCACCCAGATTTTGGATGTATCATTGTTATCTACTTTTGCTTTCTACATCCCTACTTCTTTTGGTCCATTTACCTAGTTTTTTATAGTGACAACTTTCTTACTTTTAGATTTGTTAGCATTTTTTTGGCTCCTGGTAATAGCTAGAAACAAAAATTGAGGATTTTGTTTAATGATAGAGGTAGTTGATAAATTCATAAAAAAAGGGAAACAGAGCGGCGCCTGTGGCTCCGAGAGTAGGGCACTGGCCCCGTATACTGAGGGTGGCTGAGGGTGGTGAGTTCAAACCCAGCCCAGCCAAACTGAAACAAAAAAATAGCCGGGCATTGTGGTGGGTGCCTGTAGTCCCAGCTACTCAGGGGGCTGACGCAAGAGAATCGCCTAAGCCCAGGAGTTGGAAGTTGTTGTGAGCTGTGACACCATAGCACTCTACCAAGGGCAATAAAGTGAGACTCTGTCTCAAAAAAAAAAAACCACGAAAAAAGGGAAACAGGCTCGGCTCCTGTGGCTCAAGTAGCTAAGATGCCAGCCACATACACCTGAGCTAGCGGGTTTGAATCTAGCCCTGGCCCACCAAATAACAATGATGGCTGTAACCAAAAAATAGCTGGGTATTGTGGTGGATGCCTGTCCCAGCTACTTGGGAGGCTGAGGCAAGAGAATCACTTAAGCCCAGGAGTTGGAGGTTGCTATGAGCTGTGATGCCACAGCACTCTACCCAGGGTGACAGCTTGAGGCTCTGTCTCAAAAAAAAAAAAAAGAAAGAAAGAAAGGAAAAAGCAGTATGTAAGACTAGAAATCTATCAGCCAGTATACTCAAATCTTATATTTGTGATATGTTTAACCAGCCAAGACTGAATAGTGAATTGGCCTTTTGTAAGGAAAAAATCCTCTGTGAATTTGTGTTTATTTTGGTTATTTAAAGCAAATTTTACAAGAGTTAGCAATTATACTTATTTTCACATATTTTTTTACCCTCTGTTTTAACTTGACTTTATTTTAGCAAGCCAGTTCCCTTTATAACATTGCTAAACAGTTGATCACTCCTGCTGTTCAATATTAAATATTACTTCAATTATATCTCTGGGCTCAGTTATAGAAGTACCTAACATAATGCCATGTGCATATATATCCTAGATGTTATGGATAGTTTTTATGATCGCTGCATTTTCTTGTATTAAAGAAAAAAAAAGAAAGAAAATTATGTAAAGTAAGTAAATTTCTATTAAAAGCGTGAAGGATACAGTTTTATAAAGAATTATTGGCTCCTATAATAAATATTCTGGTTTTGTTTAATATTTGTGGGCAAGGGAGACTTGTATTTCACAATTTCTATTATCAGTACTTCAGAGAGAGGTAATCATTAGCTTAAATTGACTTTTAAATAATGTTTGAATCTACTAGAGAGATTTTATGTTGGGGTGAATGTTAGTTATGGCATATTCTCAGAATTTACTAGGAAGGGAAAGTACGTAGTATAAGAGATGTTTGTAATACTTTTTAAAGCAACTATGTTTTTAAAAGACATTTTCTAGTGTTTTAGCATGTGAGTTTTTGGGTAATTGTTCATTTATATGAGAAAACACTTTATTTCTTTATTTTGGAGTCAAGATTTTGGCACATTTTATTATCTTAGCACTGCCTATTTTCAGATTAGCTTGTCTGTAGTTTCACATGTAAATAGGGCTTCAGAAAATCTCATAAATAATAATGTATTTATTAAGTGCTTACTATGCCAAGCAATATGTTAAGAATTAGTACTTCATACTTTATATTATTGTCTCATTTAATCTCAGAACAGTCCTAAGAGGTAAGTAGTAGCATTATCCCTTTTTATAGATTAAAAACTGAGACTTAATTAAATCAGTAGCTCAAGGTCATGAAATGAAGAGATTGGGATTAGATTTGAACCCATGTCTGTCTAATTCCAGCAGTGCTCATAATTTCAGGTCTACATGAAAAAGATGGTTACAGAGTTGAGTTTGAAATGAGAAAGTATCCTCCTCTTAAAGAAAGAAGAAAAGACTAGAAGAAATACAGGAAAGCTGCATTATGAGTAATCTTAAAAGTAAAGGGTTACTGATCATATTCTTTTACGGCTATATACAAATAGGCCGAGGATGGCATAAAGAGATTTAATTCTTAGTGATCTAAAGGAGTATATGTGAGGAAAATGGTACTCATTTATTTTTAGTGGGATTCATAAAATATGCTGTTAGCTATCACTATTCTAATTTATTTTAAAAGAACTTTAGGGCGGCGCCTGTGGCTCAGAGGAGTGGGGTGCTGGCCCCATATGCTGGAGGTGGCGGGTTCAAACCCAGCCCCGGCCAAAAACTGCAAAAAAAAAATAAGAACTTTAATGTGAGATGGAGGAGTTGGTGATATTTATTAAGACCCTTAAGGAGTTCATTCCCTTTCCCTTAGTGAAATTCCCTCATTTCACTTCTTGGAATTTATTCTGTGAAACTAATTACAGACATAAAAATTTGGTGACCAATATATTCATTGCAACATTGTTTATAATAGGAAAAAATTGAAAACAACCTACATATTAAATAGTGAGGTATATATTAAATTGCAATGTATCTGTGGAATAGAAAGCTAGCTATATTATAAATAATATTCTTAAAAAATACTTAAGGCCTTAATTGAAAAAAGCAGTATGTGGGCAGCACCTGTAGCTCAGTGGATGGGGCACCGGCCACATACACCAAGGCTGCTGGGTTTGAACCCAGCCCAGGCCAGCTAAAACAACAATGACAACTGCAACCAAAAAAAAAAAAATAAAGCCGGGCATTGTGACAGGCACCTGTAGTCCCAGGTAAGCTACTTGGGAGGCTGAGGCAAGAGAGTCGCCTAAGCCGAGGAGTTTGAGGTTGCTGTGAGCTATGATGCTACAGCACTCTACCCAGAGCAACAGCTTGAGACTCTGTCTCAAGAAAAAAAAAAAAAGAAAAGAAAGAAAGAAAGGAAAAAGCAGTATGTAAGACTAGAAATGCAATGTAATACTAATTTAGTGTTTTAAAACATATGTTAGAGAATAATAGAGATATGCATAGAGAATAATAACATATGCATAGAGAATAATTTGGAATAAAAAAGGTAGATTTTAACAGTACTGCATGGCAGATTTTATCTCATTTACATGGAACTGTGCAGAGAGGGACACAGTTTGAATATGCACAGGTTTCAGTTAACAACATCCTATGGAAAAGTGAAAACTGTCTTTATTTTTTTTCCTGTGTGATGAGGCTATATGATTTTTTTTTCTTTTACTTGTATTTTCCTCATTGTGTATAATATATATCTACTTCATTTATAACCTGGAAAAAGTACTAAAATTTTAAATTACTTAGTATTTATAATATCTCATCCCATGAGCAATTGAATCAACAAATCAAAATATTCCTTCATGTTTTTTTCTAGCATTGCTGTGCTAATCTCTGAAGACCCACTACTTTGATCTCTGTTACTGTAAACTGAACTGATCAGATTAGTTTGGTTAGTGACTAACCAATTATG